CCCGACACGGGCGGGTACCTTGCTGGCCCGGCCGGACAGTGTGTGCTGGTGGACTCTGACCACTGGCTCTCCAGATGGCCCGAGTCCGCAGCGCCTGCCAGTTCCCGGGGCGCGGGGCCCCCTGCCACGGCCACATCATAGTGGCACGGATGTGGGCTGGGGGAGAAGGCAGGGGCCGGTGCAGATGCAGTGGGTGGAGGGCACCTCTCGTTTTTGAGAGGCGAGCGGCAGCGAGGGAAGCCCAGGTGCAGGAAAGGTGGTGTCCACGTGTCCTGTGGCAGCTGCACCCTACCATCTGACGGTGACTTCGCTTCACAACTGGCGACGTCACCTATGAGCGTGGACTACGCCCTTGGGAGCCAGCCGGCCAGGCCTCGGTAGTGCAAGTGGTGCCACCTGGCCACAGCCTTTCCCTCTGGGGACAAGACTGCTGGGAGCTGGCTCGAGGCCTGGTGTTGCTGTCATGGCTATCGTGGCTCTGGCCTTTGCAGACGGAAGCAGAGAGCAGGCAGGGCAGGGGTGCGGGCCGGGCGTGCCAAGGCCAGCCGTGACTGCGTGTCTGTCCCACAGAGAAGCTGAAGGAGGCGGGCCTGCAGGCGCCCAAGCCCGTGCAGCACCCCCTGCACCCCACGCCAGCCCCGCACCACCCTGTGCCCAGCCTCATCTCCAGCCATGGCATCTTCTCCCTGCCGGGCAGCAGCGCAGCCACAGCCCTGCTCATCCAGCGCACCAACGAGGAGGAGAAGTGGCTGGCGCGGCAGCGGCGGCTGCGGCAGGAGAAGGAGGACCGGCAGTCGCAGGTGTCGGAGTTCCGGCAGCAGGTGCTAGAGCAGCACCTGGACGTGGGCCGGCCCCCGGTGCCCACGGAGGCGGCGCACAGGCCCGAGAGCCCGGCGGGGACGGGGACGGGCAGGCGAGAGCACGGGAGGGAAGGGGCGGTGCGTCTGCATCCCGGGTCGTCCCAGCTGGCGTTGGTGGGCGTTCTGCTGTGGCCGCGAGGAGCTGAGGCTCTGCGGAGGGCCCCTGCTGCCCAGTGCGCTGCATGCGGCGCACTGGCAGAGCCGGCTGGGACCAAGGTCCTCCATGAACCGTGTGCTTCACATGGCCCCTGCAGTGGGAGCGGCTGGAGGAGCTGATAGTGAGGGGCAGTGGGGTCCTGGGGCTGCCCCAGGACAAGAAAGCCTGGCATGTGGACAGAGCCACGTGGCAGTTGGCAGCCTTCCTGCCCTCCCATTTCTGGGCCAGGTGTTGAGGGGGGGCTAGTGCAGCCAGCGGGGCAACTGGCTGTGAGTCGTAGCTGCTGTCCTGGGGCTCCCCACAGCCTGCCCTGCCCAGCTCACCTGGAGTGGGGGCCCCCTGCCTTCCTCATGATTCATGTGACACCCAGAGGACAGGGCGGGTGCCACCTCATGAAGTCGGTGTGGGACTCCCAGGGCATCTGTCTGGGGCTCCCCAGGGCTGTGAGCCTGGTCTAGCCCGCGTGGGGCAGGCAGGGTCTCAG